TCTTTCTTTCTTTCTTTCTTTCTTTCTTTCTTTCTTTCTTTCTTTCTTTCTTTCTTTCTTTCTTTCTTTCTTTCTTTCTTTCTTTCTTTCTTTCTCTCTTTCTTTCTTTCTCTCTCTCTCTCTCTCTCTCTCTCTCTTTCTTTCTTCTTTCAATCATTCATTTTCTTTTTTACTTCCTTTTATTTATGAAGAAAACAGCAAGAAGTGCTTATTTTGCTATACAACATGAAGGAGAAAGAGCGTCCTTTCATAGAATATTCCTGATCTTTTGTGCGGCCAGGTTTAGCTGATTAATTTGTGTGTAAATTAATGAATGAAACATCAATCTATATTACCTGAGCCATTCTCTCTGTTCTTGCATGTCATAAGTATTTCTCCAAAGAGGGAGGTAATTTCCTCTCCAAATATCCTGCAGCAATTCTCAGTGAGGAACTGCACCAGACTAGAAACCTGCAAGAAAGCAAAGGGAGAGAGATGTTCCATCAGATCTTCCATTATTATGTCCAGAATAAACCTGCTATATAGATTAGTGATACAGAGCATAGGTGAGTGTGATCTCCTGCAAGCTCAGGAATGTCTTCCACACAGTGGGAGTCAGAAGAGTGAGATGGCTTCTCCTGCAACACCTGAGGGACCTGCACTTGGGTGCTGCTCSTTTTGCAAGAACTATCGTTCCTGTGATAACTTGCAGAGTGGCAGCACATCCTCCATGGGAGCCAAAGGTGAGTTTATTATCCCTGCTGGTATTTTCTGCTCTGACCACAGTGGAAACTCCTTACTCTGCTCTTACTATCCAATGAGACCTTCCCCAGTTTCCCAGTTCACTGGCTGCTCTGTGCTGTCCTTTCTGACCATGCTGTCCGGCAGCAGCCTGGCTTCCTAACACCATGAACCTCCTCACTATTGAGAGAAGGGGATAGACAGCCAGCTGGCTGGTTTTTGTGGTTGGTCATCCTGGCAAGAAATCCACAGGGTGGTGACACAAGCTGTCCTCACCTCCCACTGTTCCTCCCAGTGAGGAACCCCTCTCTAGGCATCCAAACCCTAGGAGAATGGCCAGGCCCAACACTCGCCATGAAAGGAAGGTAGGGCTACTATGGATAAATTTGTTCCCTGTATAGGCAGTGTCACCAGTTTTGCCATGGTAAGGTTTTATCTTGCCCCTTGCCTTCTCACTGGTGGGAAATAAGATGTAATAGCTGTATTTTTCTAATCAGCATTTGACTATCTTTCTTGTTACACCCTGTCTCTAGAATTATCTTTACCAGGTGTTTCCAAATCACAGCAAATTCCATCTTCTTCTTCAGGAGAGTTGCTGCTGGATGGTATTTGTCCTTTCTTATTTCCTTCCCTGCTGCCTTTTGCAGAACTCTGTCTCACCTATGTCCCTTGGGATCCTTGACTAGTGTGCAAATACTGATGGCCTCCTTGTATACATCTTTTCCTTTTTGGATCTGTCCTTTTTAAAGGCTGCAATAATTGGAGATCTCTTCTATGACAGAAGGTTTTCTCTAGTGCATTGGGCATTTCTGTTCTGATCTCTCTTCCCTTCTCCCAGGAGAGATTTAATTATCAGTGAGTATTTTTGGGGCCCTGCTAAGAGATGTACTGTTCTGCAAAGATACTGGTTGATATTTGTAACCATCAGTCTGCTTGGGCAGAAAGAAATTATTTTTCCTTTTTTTTTTCTTTTCTTTTAACTACATCACAGTTTCTCTCACCTTTTTTGTGAATTCACTTTCTGAATCAGGAGTGGAGGAAACAGGAGGCCAGAGCAGGCTAGGTGCAATGCAGATAGCCAGATTAAACGCGTTCATCTGGTTCTCTTCAGATCGCATCTCTATCCCGTGCAGTACTCCAAAGATGTAACGTAACAGAACCACATTAGCTCTGGGGAGCTGCTCTATTAACCTGAAAACATCAAACATAAGTCCTCAAATTAATGACCAAACTAAATAAAAAGCCTGAAGATAGCAAATACACAAGTCAGAAGTAATGAAAATACAGGAATAGGGTAACATGGTCTACTGATTAAAGCAGGGAATATGTCATGGAAGGTGTTCTTGCCCAACTGTTTTCCCTCACTATGACATATTTCTGTACAGTTTCCTAAGATGACAAAAATACATTAGGAAACTATTAAGATCACACTTTGTCAAACTAATGCGCCAAGTAGGATGTATAAAATTAAGCTGTATTTCTCCTCAGTTGCCTGGTAATTCAGTGTTCACTTGACCAAACAGTTTTCGCTACATACCATCTAGCTGGTGTAAGTATGTACACATGTAAGTATGCGTGAGGTCAGCTAGTTCGTTCTCCTGTTTGTGCACAAAACTCTGTTTCTTACGATATAAACTTTGCCCACTCTCTCTTTTATGTCACCTGCAAGGGTGGAGGTTTCCCTTGTCACTGTGTTCGAGTGTTTCATTCCATCTTGGCTTTGAAATGGTCACTAGAATTTGAGATGAATGAGGGGGAAAATGTGAGGAAGTGACTCCAGCTACCCTTTCCCCCAGGAAACCAAGTTCCTTGTGGATGATTTTGCTTTATTTCTGGCACCTGGTAGAAATCTAGATCCTGGACAGTATGATTATAAATATTATAAATATTTTCTTAGGAAAGGACATGATTACCCCTATTTACTGGCATTCACAGAGTATGAAGGCAGAAATCATGACAAAAGAGAATCAGAAAATTTCCTCATACAAGAAATGGATATACAAGGATATTTTACATATCTATTTAAATGTTCTGTTTTTTTTTTAAATTACAGATTGTAAATTGAATGTTTGTGATTCTGTATTGGGATATATATATATATATATATAGGAGGAGAATATAGAGAACACAACTAACTCTACCTTTGGATGTTTTTTATTTTCTCTTCATTATTCCCTTGATCCATCACGGAGATCCACTTATCACAGAGTTGGGATGACAAAATGCTGCCTGGGATGTTGCGTAGAAAATCCTTATCCAGAGAAAAGAAGAACAAAATATGTAAGCAGCTGTTCCGGAGTGTCGGAGGAAATAGGAAAAGCTATGCAGATTGAAGGGGATGTACTGATGGGATAGCACAAGCTGACAAGCATTTTGATCCACAAAGCAACCAAAATAAGCAGAAAATCATTTCAAATAAGGAAGTCTTTTGGATTAGGTTTAAAGCGAATATCTTCCTGCTTTGTCCTCACCCTTTCCTGTCTAAACTGAGGTATTTGGATACTTAATCTGGAATCATTGAACCCAAAAATATGCAGTGGAGCCAGTTATTTTGATGTTGCATAATGTCTGTTTTTATACATTGCCAACATCATCTGTAGTCACCGTTTCTCCTCCTCAGCTGGCAAACTTCAACAGCACCCAACCACAACCCCTCGAGGAGAAGACAGGCATTCCTTCTTCCACTGACAGCTGATCTTTTTGGTAATGGAGTATTTATACTGGTCAGGGAGAGTTTCCCTGCTCCTGTCTCCCAGTGCTTCAGCCATTAGTGGGTAGAGTTTGAAAATGGGAAGAAGCTGAAACACCAAAGAGGTTGGGTGAGGGAAGCCACGGTGAGCATGAGTAACATTCACTACTACATGGTAACTGTCTACGTGCTCCTCTGTGTGGCCAACACTAAGCAGTACCCCTCAGTGAAGCTGTTYTCATGGGATGGGTATTGCACATTAGCAGTTCGCCTTGTGTAGCTGACCTGCCCTAAACCCACCTGTAGGAACATGTACGTGTGTCACGGAACGAGAGTCTYACCAATGAAGACCCCTCACATGACAGCAAGAGGAATGACTTTCTGTGATTAAAAAAATCCCACCCCAGCAGAGCTTGCTTAAAAAAAAAAAAAAGTGGACTAAAATATCTTTTAAGCAAAATTTACAGGCAATCAAGATGCACTGCAATAAAATCTGAAGAGAAATATACTGATCGTCCTCCTGGACTGATGTCTTCCTAAAGGTTTATGATATTTTATGCACAGGAACATTATCATGAACATAAAAATCTGTAAGAAAAGATAATTCATGGAAAAGTTAATCCAAATATTTTGGAAAACTTCAGGCAAGGGCCTGTAGTATAAGGCATTATTGTTGAATAAGAGAAGAGGCCTGAAAAACTTTCTTTCTAGTTTTTATTGACTTTAAGTAGGTATAAGGAGACCTCAGGAAAGCTGACACAAAAACAAAATCCCTAATTCCTAATGAAGACAGTAAGATGGTTAGTTCTCCTTCCCATCCTAATTTAGTGGTAATCTCTTTCTAGGATCCTCATAATTTCAGTATGTCAGCCCATTCTTCTTAATTTATTCTACCAGTTCCTCTCTGGACCTGTCCATGGGTAAATACCCAACTCATTGGTACCTGAAATCTGTGCTTTTCCCACCCAAAGCGGGAAGTGAATGTTCTCCACATACCTTAAACAAAGATGCTGTCACAAATATGGATTCACAGGCTAAGTCCACTTCAGCTCCTGAATCAAGCTTCTCCTTGAGTTCCTTGCAGGTTTTTGCACTTCCTGAGCGCCTGAAGATACCCTCAGTGGAAGGGCCCTCTTGGTAAAGCAGGGAAAGCATGTCCTAAACAAAATTGAACAGGCACAAAACCTCTCTCAGAACAAGTTTAATTTTCCAGAGCCATTAAAAATGTGGTTTCATCATTTCTGTCACAGGTGAAAACCTCTGAGTCCTAAAATTCACAAATCAAATGCATGTCAAGTCGCACTCTCCAGGCCATGCCAAATCTAACATTAAGCTACTGATTTTGGCAAACATCCCTTCAGAAATCCTTTGTTATCAGTGCTCAGCACTAACCCAGTCACGATCTCTTCCAGGTACTGTGCAAGTATTAGCCAAGTCATTAAAACCTACGAACCCAGTGGCAGAAGGAGAGGCAAGCAGCCTGCTTAGTGCCGTGCCCTGCATCCGGCAGCTCCTGCTTCACGGGATGCTGAAAAAATCCTCAGTACTCATCCGTGTGCTCAACATGATCACAGACCCCAGACCAATGCTTCTTTTCCAATTGATTGGTCTGCAGTCTGAAAACTGAGAGTTTATCCAAGTTTATGCCAAGTGCTTCTTTTCTTAGTATCTATCTGTATTTCTACATCAGATCAGAGTCGGATTTTACCCCCCTTTGCTTCCAGGAGTAATACTGCACTCCACAAGCAGTTCAGAGCTCCTGTAGGGCCATCTCTGGGGCAGGGAGGTGACCCAGAGGGAGACAGAACTTGGCTTTCAGCTCCTCTGAAGTCAATGAGACTGCACAGGTGTAAACAGGTAGACAGCTCTTAGCATGAGRTATTTAAGAGAAGGGTAAACAAGCAGATTTCTCCTATCTCCCTATTTTTAAAATCGCAGAAGGACCTGATTTCTTCTGATAAATGGGAGAACAGAAAAGGAAATGCTGAAATAAGCATTCCTGATGTGTTTCTCCTTCAGCTTCTCCTGAAGTGTTATGTACATGATATTTTCCAGCTGCTTAATTCTCTGCAGTTGCCCTTTGAGTTSTTATATATGCTGATCACCCCACAGAGGCTCTCCACAGGAGCAGTCACTCCAAGCAACACGGCATTTGTCATGTTTGCCTCTTCCTGGGGGGAAGCGTGTGCAGACRGAGTATCTATAATTATGTGCACATACACTGTGGTCCCTGGACCAACTTATCTAACGAGATGGCAAGAAATGGGATGCTGAGGGAGAGTCTGTCTTCATTAAACCAAGTTATTCTACCAGTAATAGCTAAGCAATAGCTACCAGCAATAGCTAAAGCTTTTGGCTGCTTTCAGAGCCTCGGCTATCAGGTAGGTCTCCTGACACAYGGCGATGCAGAGATAATGAAATATATGTATTTTTAATATACTTCTTCAGTGTTTCTCGCTTGCTTTTGCAGCATCCCAGGTATATGCAGCTACTCCAGAAGAGCACCACTCACAACGACAGCATTTGGGTCAGCATGTCTATTTTCTTTGCAGAGATTTATAAACCCTACTGTCAAAAATGGGCTGAAACCCACGGCGTGAGATCTCAGCACATGATTGAACACTTTAAAGATATATTTTGAAGAAAAAGAGGGAAGCCCCTCCTAAAGTAGTAAATTCAAAGAAATTATATAAAGTTAATGGTCTAAGATATTTCAGCATRGCAATGGCTAAAAGAGAGTTCTTTAATTGTGAAAGCAAGTTTGAGGTTCTTAAGCAGAAATATCAAACATGCCTGCAGYATTCAGCCTTGATATTTTCCTTCTCTGTGGGCAAATCCCACACAGTAGCTCACGTGCAGTATTCCACTCTCCAGAGATGCGGCATGAAATTAGAAGCAAATTATATTTTGTGGTATAAACACAGTGTTTAGGATGAACTACTGAGTTGTAATCCTGTGCTTAAGATCTTTACTTAAAAAAAAAAGATTTCCTGATGTTTAAATTCTGAACGTATTTGCATATTACAGCATTGGTTCATCTCTCAAAGAAAGAGAGAGATATTGAGAAACCAGGTTCTTACAGAATCCACCTCTGCAGGGCTTACTTAAATAACCTACACAATAAAAATGCACACTTTCTCAAAAAAAGCATATCCCTATTAAAGTAAGGTATGGTCAATATTCAGGCAAAGATAAAGCAGCCTATCAAGCTCAAGCTGAGAGACAATTTTTTTTTTCTTTTTACCTATAAATTGATGTAACCCCACTGATCTCAGTGRAGCCCTGACAAGTTATTGCAGCTGAAAGCCAAATGCCTGGGGCTCGGGACAAGTTCCACAGGGCTCCCACCAGGCCCTATTCCCTCCCACTGAGTAAATAYTTCTGTTGGGGCATCAACAAGAAGACAGTCCTCAGGACAGGTTCCTGACCAGAAACTCCACACATCTRCTTTATGTATCCCTAGTAATGGGCTCTAGGGCAACCCTTCCTGTGTCCCTAGGGGAAAGGAGCGTTGAGAGACTCCCAGCATTGAGAGCTTTCTTAGAACAGGATGAACGACTGTTGAGGCCTCCAGCCAACCCAACCAGCTGTGATGTCAGATCAAAAATAAGGAGCCAGAGTGGTTCCTTGCCCTGGATCATTCCAAGGTGGCTGGACATCATCTGCTTCAGGGAAGGTGGCATTTGTTTGAAAGTTTGGGTTGTCTATATGGGACAGTAGATGCCATTTTTCTTAAAATATGAGGTTTTGCAGTGATCTTGGGAGTGGTTTGTGTGAAAAACATGTGAGAACGTGGAKTTTTTTTATACTGCATAAGGAAGGATTAGAGAACCAGTCTTATAGCATGGTCTATAAAGAAGAAAAATCCCTGAGCAGCAGCCTGATTCCATACAATTTGCAAGCTATGTCATATTAACCAGGCCTGACCACAGCACATGTTAAAAATCAAAGTTCTTGCTGAGAACCACAACTGAGGTTTCCTTCTGGTTTCTCTATTTGGGTAACTTCAGTGTCCCATTTAAACAGCATCCCATGTTCTCATTTACTACGCAAAGAAATTCCAGCACTTTAAGAGCCTGCCCAGAGTCTGGGACTCACCAAGAGAGGTTTGGGCAGGTTGTCATCCTCACAGATGGCTGTTAGCAAGAGGCCAAAGAGCTTCCCAGGAGCAGCAGATGTTGAGGAGAGAGGTGCGTTGTCCAAGTGAGTGCCTGGGCCACGCCAAAAAGCCCAATTTATGATAGATCTTTTCCTTTTAAACGACTTTTGGCTTAARTCTGGGAAAAGAGAGAGGTGTTTATTAGCAGAAATGCATTTCAAATCTAATTCCACTGTTTGTTTTGTAGTGGTCGCTATGGTTTCAAAGGGAAGATGTCATGAACTCAACCAGCTCCTTGGCGCTGGGCTCACTCAAGTCCCGCACGTGGACACCTGTGTGTGTGCAGGGAACGCGCCGCCTCGCTCACGCTCTTAAGAGGATCACAAGGATCTGCACTGCACCACGAGACCAAGGGATGTAGGTAAGTACAGGACGCAAAACCTCAGCCTGCTGACTTTGCATGGGGCTGTACTCAAYGACTCACTTCCCATCCAGAGGCACAAAGCCACCGATCTTTGGAAAAACTAATAAATAAATCCCATCGYCCTCACCTTGGTTCGCTGTCTGGAGGTATCTAGTTCCCCTGGCAGTGTGGGAGAGCACCAGCTCTTTCCACAAGAGAATCCACTAATGGGGCAAGACCAGGAGCACTTGCTGCCCTTGCTCTCTTCTCTGCAGAGCAAGGCTGTCATCAGCGCTCTTGCTCCCAGCATTGGCTGACCATTGCTCAGAGAGGGTCCCTGCCCTTTATTCCGTGTCTTCCAGGTGGCATTTCAGCATGGTGACAACACATGGATGTCCCACGGCTGTCTTCCCTCRGATTTCATGAGATATTATAATAGTGAAGGTGCTGTACAGCACTACTGAAAATGGTCTTATTTGCAACACAGAGAGAAAGAAGGACTGGTAATAGGATGMAGAAAGGGGGTTCTTTCCATCACATTCCACAACATCAGGCAGTGCAAAYGTTCACCTAACAGCATGGGGTGCTGGGATCGGTGATAGTGCTTGTGAAGAAAACACCAAATGGGAAAAATATTCCAAATCTATTTTTTTCCCTTTCTAGATGTCTTCAAAACCACTCAGCTTTGATTCAGTTGCTCAGTTATCCTGTGCACATTTCTACTATATCTGATTCTTTCACCTGGTCAAACACTCTGTCTTCTACCATCTTGAGGAACAGAGTGCAACAATAGAAATGAGGATTGCAGTGTAAAATTAKGTTTTTATCTTCTGTACTTTACCACATGTCTTTTAGCACAGCGATTCTTGTAATACATTGTGCCATTCTAGGTAATCATGTTCCCTTTGGGAGTGGGTGGAAGTCTTTTCATTACAGGTTTACAGTATGAAGTTACAGTTTAGCATCTGAGTGCTAAAGGCTAATGAAAAAATCTTGGGCTTTACTTAGTATGTCATGTTTTGGAAGAACACRGCTAACCTATAACTTTTGAAACCACAGTTTTTCTTACAGACGAACAGGCTTTTAGCATGTGATCAGGGTTTACTTCACTTGGAGTGCTGTTCACACAATGGTAAATACATATCTGTGTTCAGTTTTGGCAACGCTATAGATCTCAGTGAAAGTAAAATTTATGGCAAAATGCTATTCTGGGGAATAAAGAATAGGAGGAATGGGGAAAAAAAGGCTCTCAGAATTGAAAGATTTATTAGCCTCTCATTGTGTTCCAGTCTTAAGAGCCAAGGCTCAAATTAAGAGTGTAAGCAATGGGTAATTTTGATCAAAGGCAGCTCTTTTTTTGAGGGAAATCTATATCAGGATTTTTTAACATAGCAGAATAGAAACCAGCAACTAACATAAAGCAGTGAAATGCCTTATCACTTAACAGATCACTGAATAACGGGAAAACTCATCCTCTCCATATGAAAAGGCCATAAAAAGATAGGAAAGTCATTTCTGTGCCACATGAAGCAAAAAAAGTTTGGAGATACAGAGCAGATGAGAGGGGGAAGACRTACACTCTCTTCTTGAAGCCATGCAAAGTTACAATATTGTCCAGTCTCCATCCAGCCATGACCAAGGAGATGATTGCTGTGCAGAGGACAGCRCTTCCATACCGTAATAGCAGTGTTGCCTTCAGGGCTTTGCTCCTGTGGATTATTCCTGGCCCGAACCAGAAAAAAAGCAATATTGCTTTGGTTGCAGATCAGGATCAGAGCTCATAACAGTGGCCCGAGAGTGACTCTCATCTGCCCTGGGATCAGTTCTGCTTGTATTTTATAAGCAGGTAATTTCTATTCATAGATAATGTCCTGTATGTGCACAGTTCATGTGAGTGGATAGCTCCTCTCTCTTCTCACAAAATGTCCAGACTCTTCTAAATCTCATATCAGAGCATCCTTTCTGACCAAATCCTTACTAGACGAACAACTTTAATGATCTCCTTTCTGTATTGAGACTAAATTGTTAAAAATTTACTTTTTCTTTTAATGGATGTTAAAGTAACGACCTGATGATAGCCTAGCCACTGGCAGCAGTCTGTTCTTTCMAGTTAAAGTGCAAGCAATATCTGCCATGTTTTTCACACACGTGCTAATGAGCACTACTGAATGGCTGTGTTAATTGAGAGGAGGCCAAAAGGCTGCRAAAGAGTCAACAGAAGCATTTCAGTACTTCCACACAGTAAATCCTTCTGTACYTTTTTAACCATCCTGCCAGGACATCTGATGCAAATGCAATAGTGTAGTTGGTGTCTAGGTGTCTGTTGTACGGAGGAAGGGGCCAAGCTCTTCTCAGTGGTGGCCAGTGACAGGACAAGGGRCAATGGGTAYAAGCTGAAACCCRGGCAGTTCCATCTGCATGTGAGGAAGAACTTCTTTSYTGTGAGGGTGCCAGAGCCCTGGAAGAGGCTGCCCAGGGAGRCTGTGGAGTCTCCTTCTCYGGAGATCTTCCAAASCCGCCTGGCTGCCACCCTGTGCCCYGTGCTCTGGGTGTCCCTGCTGGAGCAGGGGGTTGCACTGGGTGATCTCTAGAGGTCCCTTCCAACCTTAAGCATTCTGTGTCCACACAGCAATTTACTCCACATGACAGGCAGTTGTCACCTGTGTCTGCCTGTCAGCACCTACAGCACTGTCTAATCACAGTGCAGCAGGGGCAGCTATGTCCCTAAAAGACAGGGTCTGCAGGAGGGTGATACCAGTGTCACGGGTTATGGCAAAGCCCTGGGAGAAGAAGAGCTGGCTGGCTGGCACAGGAACAGTTTGGCCACACAAATGTTTGGTCCTTGTCACGGCAACACGYTCTTAAAAATTTTACACTTCTAAGCCTGCAAACTGAAAATATTATGTCTTGATTCAGGTGACAATAAGAGACAGCTACGAACATCAGCTGAGAGAATTTAGTAGAATTTAGTGGAGACTGTTCAAGCTCTGCTTCCAACTTCATGATTTTATCACATTTTAAGGAAAAATAAATAAAAGAATCTTAGTGTGCAGATCCTATAAGGACATGAGCCACTAGAGCATCAGTCACTTCATGATGAGCAGATAATCCCTCTTTCTTCTCAGTTTGGGATAGGTTTCTCCAGGAGGGAGGGCAGGTTACGCAGCACATCTGGCAGCGAAATGTGGGGTCACCGACTCTTCCCCTACACATTTGCCTCATATGTGCTGTTGTGCCTAGCAGTTACCTAACAACAACACAGACTTGGGCTTGCTGATGTGAACAGGAGCCTAAAATCAAATCACAGCCCTGACTTGTACATCTCCATTTTCCAAAACGAAAATAGCAAACGAGCAAAACGAGCAGAGACGTATGCAATGTACTGGCTTACAAGCAGCCAGACCTACRCATCCCTTTAAAAGGTTTTATCCACCAAGGATGAAAGTAGAAAAAAAATGAATGGATTAATAGGTTCTTTTCTTGCCACTTAGCCTAGTTCTTGTGGATCACCAGCATGCTGCCCCAAGCAGCCAGGCTTTCCCTCCTGCAGTTCGCACCGCACAGCACATCTGCATTAGAGCTTTACAGGCCTGATTTGCATTTCTATTTTCTCTTGCCAGTCAATGTCAGCTGCCAAGCAGGGCCTGTAAACCTAATTACACCCCTTTGCTAGATTGCCTCATACTTAAAATATGCCATGAAGTAATGGATGATGCACATTACTGGGGAAGGGGGGCATGAAGGGGTTTGGAAAGGACATCAATTTCTATAAAATGTAATCAGTTTCCGGAATAATTTGTAAGAGGCACTGATGGAGCCTTTCTATATTTGATTTTTAAGAACATTACAAATGGATTCTATTGATTCATTGCCTGAGATCTTTGCTATTGGGGAGGCCTAGGATAACAGAGTGTGCATATGTTATTTTTATTATCATACAGTCATTAACGGTGAAGTGTGGCAGGGTTCCTAGCTGAGCATAGTGTGTTAGTGTGCAAAGTTCAATAACAACACGCCATGGGAGGCATCCTCGCCCTGTAGTTTACAGTCTAAGGCCCCAATCTGGTGAAGATCAGCTTTTTTGCTTTACCCATGAGCAGTGAACGGCCATTGTGTCACTGATACAGGAATGCAAAACAGACAGCAGGTGCTCGTATTTTTGCAGGATTAAGGCCAAAGGCAGGAGAAAGTATCAGCCTCATCTTAGCCAAAGGGGAACTGAARCAAAAGAGTCATATTTGTTCAGTTCATCAAGGTCCACCAAACACGTGTGGAGGCTTTGCCATGAGTGCCAGTGTGTGCAGACACCAGGACCTCGTTGAGATACAGAACACTGAGAAACAGCACAGGGAACCAGTAAAGGATGCAGCAGCATCAAGCTTTAAGTCCTGACGTGTAAAATCATCTTGCAACAGAACAAGGGCTGCAGAGAGAAGCGAAAAAAATCTCAGGGAAGAGAACTAGTCCTTCTCTGCTGGTTTGGCAACTGCCATTTGCATCTAACAGCCCCTCAAACCGGGAAGAGCCACCCTGCGAAATCCCCTGGAAAKCAGAACAGCGCATCCCCGGGCTCCTCTTCCCTTCCCTCCCCGCGGGCCCACGTGTGCCTTGTGCGGGGACGCGGTGGGGATGCGGTGGGGACGGAGAAGGGGCGAGCGCGAGGGACGCACCGCTCAGCTGCTGGCCCGGGGCCCGGCGGCTCGGCTTCAGCACGAACTGGCACTGCAGCTCCTGGGGCAGCTGCTCCGTGAGGAAGGAGCCCTGCAGCTGCCGCGGGCACGCGCACGGCTTGGATCCGTGGGGCATCGCGTCGCGGAGGTGGCTCATCTTAATTCCAAAGGGGTACTCGTGTCCTGTGCAAAGAGAAAGCGGCACCGTCTGCGGGGGGATTGACTGGGGGGCTTGGAAAATGCCATCTACCTCGGGGGGAAAAGCAGGTTTCACAGGGCATTTTCTCAGCAGCCTCAGAAGTGGGGCTTTTATGTGTATTTACACTGGCATAAATCCTACACTGAGTTACCGTGTTCAGAGTTGTTCAACGGGAGTAAAGGAAAAATCAGACCCATTACAGCTGTATCACATAGAAGTCCCTCAGAAAGATTCAAGTGACTATTTCTGAATTCAGTGTTTATTTGTTCTACTGTTTTACTTTCAGGGCTCAAAGTTTAGGTCCTGGCTGCCTGTACGGTTCTCTCAAGAAATGAGATTTTTGTCATTTTTCTGCTGAGCATGCAAAAAATCCAGCATGAGCGTGATCTCCCCACTCTGTCCACGGTAAGTCACGGCAATAGTCAACCACGTAGTCAAAATAGATGAAAGAGAAGTTCCTGTCTGAGGYTGAAACAGGAAGGAAACGCTATCACAAGGCTAATGCCAACAAACTATGGTCTGCATTAGCAAGCTTCTTAAGGAAYTTGTACAGAGGCAATTAGCTTCTGGAGAAGCTTTCAAAAATGCCACCAGAAAGATGGACCTGTTTGTTTCGGAYCTGTCCACAGACATTGCCATTAAAATAGCTCTATTCTGACTGAGGTTTTAGTTAACTTACCTTGCCTTCAAATGAACATCGATAATSGAAGATTCATTATTAGACATTAGAAGTAGTGTGAAGCTGAAACAGGCAAATTTGTATTCCAATGTGCCCCTAGGATAAAAGCTAGGGCCATATCCCATAAACCTTGTGTGATACCCAGTGCAGCATCATTTCAATACCAGACTCTCCTTTACCAGAGATTGCAGCCTGAATTCACAGTGAGAAAGAGCCAGTCAATCAGAAAGGTCTTTCCCAATTTGGAATTCTCTGGTGCTATATTTAAAACCGCAGCTGTGGTTTTATCTGAATAAGCTACACATAATGATCTAAACCACAAAGTCTGGTACGTTTCAAAGGCAAAACAGCTTGCATTGTCTATAAGGTGCACAAGTTAGACATTTTATAAATATTAATGTTGTCTGACTCCAGCAAAGCATTTGTAGCTAAGGCTGCTTTGAGAAGGAATGCTAGGATTTACTGGAGTTAGATTTGCAGGAGGAAAACAGAAAATGCACATTTTTTTCTTGTTCTAATCATCTGTGGACTTTTATATAGCTCAAGTAATGCAGGACTTCTACAGGAAAAGGCTTTTAATAACAGAAAGGGATTTGTTCTCAATGAACTATGGGCTAAAATCAAATCACTCAATTCAATCACTCCTGAGCTTTTGGTTGGTTCTTGGTGAGGGAGATGTTTTGAAAGGCATTTTATAACGTGAATAAGCAATATTCTGCTCTTATTCAGAGAGAAACTATCAGGCTGTAAGAGAAATACAAGATTGGAAAGGACTTCCTCARTCAGTTAGGTCCAGCTGCTGAAAAACAGAATATTTTTCAAAATCATGTTGAGTTTTGTGAGGAGAAGAATGAAGCAAACAATGCAATAGAAACTTGGAAGAAATATGACATAGCTGGACTAGCTCCAAGAGAGGAGGCAAGTGAGTGGAGGTGCTGGTCCTGTAGAAAGACTGAGTCTCATGCAACTGAAAATAACAAAATTGGTGCAGCAATAAATGAACTATTTCACCTCTTASTGGATATGATACAACAGACACAATTGCTCTTCAATACAAACATAAAAAAAAAAAAAGATCAATGTCTGACTAGCTCCCTAGCAGGCAATCTGGTGGGACAGGGAAGTAAGAGAAAACCAGAAAAACGAAACAAAACAGGAAACTGCATTTGTCTGTATTTCTTGCTTTCTTCAGCAYTGAAAATTAGTGGCCAAATGCTGAAAAGTAAAACCATTTCAAGAACTTACCAATAAGAGGGTAAGGAGCGTCTTCTCTTCCGGAAATCACCCAGAGCTTGTAATCTTTTTCAGAGCCCTTTAAAAGCAAAAGTAAGAATAAGTTAGCTAGCCATTAAGAAGGACTTTACATTAGGCTTCTTGCAGTGCTAGGATAAATGGCACCTTTTCCCTGTGAGCAAAGGAATCCCCTTTCCAAACTTGCCACCACCAGAGCATCTAAATTTTCCCTGTACATGAGGGGAGGCCCAGCTGGAGCGGTGGGAATTGTGCATCATCCTCCAGCAGCAGCACCACGATGGAGATAAAAGGAAAGGCATCCCGCACGAGCCGCTCTCCAGACACAGTTGATAAATATACTGTGTAAAAAGTCAACTATTACACTTTAAATCCCTTTTCACTGACTGTGCTACAATACAGAAAATTAAAGTCTGAAAGTTTTCTGATGACATAAGGTGATAAACATCCAGAGATAGCATTTATTCCGCTCTAAAATTGAATTCTGGCTCCTTTTGAACAGATTTGCCCTCTGTCTGCATTGTCGGGACTTTCATCTGGCGTTCCCAAAGCTCCTGAGGCTCTCCCCGTCGGCTGCTGGCACGTGGAGCAGAGCCGATGCGCCCCACGCCGCCTTGGCAGCCGGCGCGGATGCTGACACCGCTCTCGGGGCCCTATTAGCACTGCTGCTAAGCGAGCTAGCGGGGGGCAGAAGGAAAATAAATAGGCTATAGACATCCCCAGAGCCTCAGGGCAGGCCGCCAGGAGCAAATAAATACAGCTGAGGAGCACAAGAAAAGGTATTTACTTTTCCTTTCAAATATATATATATATGTATGAAAGGGTTCGCTGCTCTGGAGACAGGGACAGCGGAGAGCTGGGATGCGCAGTGTCAAGCCTGGTGGATGGTGGATTGACCATCCTCCAGCTGCAAATATTGTCCATGATGGGCTTTATAAGGCCATTTGTCAGCARGAGTGTCACTGTCCCAGAAAAATCAGCAACTGCCACTTACGGAGCTGGGAAACCCCAAGCTCTTCTTTCTGTCCTGATGGATAACTGGGAACAGATGATCGATGCCATTTTGCTGAAATTAGTTCATTTTATCAGAGAGAGCACAGAGRAAAAAACTCTGATGTGTAAAAATGGAGTGAACTCAGGCAAAGTAATAGCCCCACTAATCACACAACATGTGAAATGTAGTTTTTTTAATTGCCATTGAAAAGTCAGAGTCATTCCAGTCATTCTCTCCAAACATAAAAACCACTGAGATGGCGAAACAGGAGAAGCTTCCTTGTGATTTGCACAATCCTAGGAGGGGGAGTTTGACCGATACACAGGCAACTGTTTTAATTTATTTAGGTTGCCTGATTTTATTGTGAGTCTTTGTGACGGATACGATGTGCTTCTAATAAAAAAAGGCTTTATGTCATGAAGATGCAGTGAAAAATGGAATATATATTACTTGGTCAAATAATTCATCGGGCAAGATTTTACATCTTCCAGAACACTGTTATTGCTTATTCCACTCAGAAATAGAGAGAGGAGGAAAGGGATGGCTTTGACACATACAGAAGAACGCRAAGCTGAAACCTATCTAGCTCCTCCTCCTGCTCATACCAAACAAAACATTGTTTTTTTTTCAGCACTGCCATTTTCCTCATTTTTCAGTATGTAAAATGAGGAAGTGCAAATGACACCCATGAAAAGAGCAAARCCGAAACATCATAATAAAGACTTGCAGTCTTGCAGCTGTAACATAGTGCAGTCTCTCCAATTTGCAGTGGAAATCAGAGGAGACAAATTGGAGGGCTGATCTTAGCTCGCTGGATTTTATCCTCTTCACCTCGTAGTCCCTCTATTACCTCCAGAGCTTCCTTTACTGGACAGGCTKCAGGGTCCTTAGCTGGGGGCCAGAGCTCCAGCCCTGGCATAATAWGGTACATATAAAATTTTCAAGATGGGTAGGCAGAAAAAGCTGTGCTGAGGAAATACTGGGCTAGCAGAATAGCCCCCCGGATGTAGAAAAGGCCAGCACGAAGTCGGGACAATGAATACAGGGAAATGCAAATTCTGAGGTTGCTCTGAATCTTGATGGGTGTCCCTTGAAGCCCCAGAGAAGCACAAGAGTGATGCTTGGCTATATTTGACTCTTCCATGGCAAAGGAGAGACTTGTCAGATTCCGTGTATTAAGATCAACATATGCACCGAGACCAAGACATTTAAAAAACCACTTGTTATCCAAATAGCATGCTAACAGGCCAGTTAAAAAGTTGTCATATAGGGACTTCACTGATGTGACTGTGTTGTTTAAAGCCACACCACGAAATGACAGAGGTGGAATGAGGGAGTCTGAATTCTCTTCCTGCCACTGATTCATTTTAGCACCTGTGGCGCTTCCTTTCCCGTTTTGGGGCAAAGGGTGACAGTTCAGGCAATACTTGATCTACTAGGAATCACCGTGTCCACTTGGAGCACTATCCTGTATTATACTCGCTCATCTAAAGACCTTTTACTAACACAATGGTTTCATGCCATTGGTTAAACTGGTTCTACTACTGGGCAATCACTCACTAACATTCATATCTCGTGATGCTAAAGATCCATGGATACTTAAGAGAGTTGTCTGGTTTGGGTACTCAGTAGCTATGCTTGTATATATAATTTGGAGACACAAATGATCACACATATTTGCAGGTTTTGAAATAAAGGGGAAAAAACAGTCCAAGAGGTTCCCTCTTCATTCTCAGGCATGCAGAAGGAGCTGTCACAAACCTTCACTTCTTGGGTCAAGATATCTTCTCTTAGGCGTCAGCAAAATTAATTTAACAGCAGTTTCAAACATGCCTGAACCCTTATAGGGATGAGAGGTTTATTCAAGACTTACAAAGCATTTGATGATCTCTGGAGGTCTATATTTTAAATACGCACATCTGTTTCATTTCAACAACATTGCTATGAGAAAGGTTTTCAAATAAATATGTACATATCCTAGGGCTTTGAAAAAGTACAAGAGAAAACTTCTTCCTTAAAAACAGCTATGAAAAGATTCATTAAAACTGGTGCAAATACTCACAGTAATTCCCAGCTGCTGTAGGGCCATCAGAATTACATCATTTGCTGTATCAGCATTGGTTACAGCTAGGGTCTTTGACTGTGAACAGACAAAAGGAGAAAGGAAAAGTGGTATTAAAAGCACAGATTTGCAAAGAGTACTAAAGTGCAATATCCTCACATAATTAAAGGCCCTTGTTAATTTTTCCCTTTCTTTTCTATTGAATATCTCCCTGGCAAGAAAATACCACACATAGGTTGTTCATCTCTGTATTCTTTGCCACTTTTTACATAGACCTGTCAATCCCAGGTTTGGCTTCTGACAAGGAACATTTCCTACGGAAAATCTTTATTTGAGTCAAACTGCTGCTGTTCTAGCATCCTCCAGAATGCACCCATGGGCAGTATGGAGGACACTAGAAATGCTGGGTCCTAAGCAAGTATGAGGTGACTGAGCCTGACTACCTCTACGGCATGTATCATGTTGGAATAAGAGATATTTTCCACAAAACAGTCTTTCCAGAATGAGATTTCAACACCCAATACACAGCAGCAACATTATACAAGTGCAGAGAAATGCTCTCTCTGCTGTCACACCATGTAGCTATCCAGGTCAGTGCATTTCACACATATTGTCAGCGTTCACGAACCCATCCTTGGCACAGCCGGGATGTGGCAGCACCACTGCCATCACCTTGCAGAGACAAAACACGGGATGAGGTCCAGAGTGCTCTGGGTAGTCTGGTTCTGCCAGCACCACCACACAGCTTTTGGATAGGAGCTGGTTTGTGGCCAGCTCAAGCACTGGCTGGACAAAGATATGGTTGCAAAAATGACCTAGAAGGCCCAAAGAAGAGGGGGTGGCAGAGACAGGATGTAAATATTCACTATAAGTCCCATGTCTGGTTCAATAGACCCTGCAGCAATATGTAGCACTGTTATTTTATTCTGGCCGTTGAGTGTTCAGGTGAAACAACACCATGAGGTTCTGCACTTTGAAAAGATCTGAGCTGCACCTTTGTACGAGTTCCTGACGGTAACAAGATGCCACGGCAATCAGAGGAAAGGAGTGAGAATACTGTGCATTTTGCTTCAGGATATATCCTAATGTTCATACCATGAAAAATTTAACAGTTGCCAAAAGCAATGACATCTGGCTCTCAGGAGTAGGTCAGCACATTTACATAAATTTTGCTCTTGGCTAGAATATAATAAACTGTTTAAGCCTCTTGTTCCCCCTTCCCCCATCTTCCAGAAATGAAATAATTCTCGGGCATCTCCAGCTGCTGCAGCACAGGGACTACAGTGCCATAAGAACTGCTTGGATCACAAAGTTTCCATATGCTCTCCCATTGCTTAATTTCCAATAACCGTTAGACTGCAGCACGTACTTCTGAGAAATTACATATCAGGAAACCAAATTTGGCACAGGAGCTTATTTTCTCCAAGGAAGAAAAGAGAAACAAAAAGCCTTTGGTACAATAGTGGAATACCTGTGAGTGAACATATAATTTATAGACTTTTACTCAGAAAAACCTCAGTGCACGTTGATCTGCAGTCCTTCATTTGAAGGGCACTGCTATCATCATTATTTACTATCATTTTTCTTAGCAACTTGTTATTTTTAACTACATTTATCTAAATAATGATTCCTGCAGAAAGGATGAATTGTTTAAGATTAGGTCTATGCAAGTACAGAATTCTAAGTGAATTATTGGCCAAAAACCTCCAACAAGGCCTAACTTCTGAGAAATTATCTCATTTCTTTGCAAGTGCTCTTGAGGCTTCTCAGCACAAAAAGGGAAAGAAAGAAAGAAAGAAAGAAAGAAAGAAAGAAAGAAAGAAAGAAAGAAAGAAAGAAAGAAAGAAAGAAAGAAAGAAAGAAAGAAAGA